GCCAGGTGCTTATGATCACACAGCTGTTCCGGAAATTCCCCCATCGGCACTAGAGACCTCAAAGGATGGCAGTGAGCGCTCAACAGCAACCGCAGCCTGTCTTTTTGTTTCAACAGAGTATGCAAAAGCAAAGCCATCCACAGGAACATGGCACAGCAACAAAAACAACCTCTTAGTTGGGCAGCTTTGGACATGCAACTAAGCTTCTCTGATCCTGGCTCTCCAGCTAAGTCTTCAGGGTTCTCCTTCATGGTTGGGGATTAACATGACAGAGGACGTGAGCAGAGCACTTAGCTGTTACATTCACCCCATGTTTTTAACCATGATGCTTTGCTAGGCTGAGACAGTAAGTATTCTAAGCCATGATTCCTACCCTAGCTTGGTCCATTTAATCCCCAAGTGACTGTGTGACCAGGTGTGAAAGAGGTAATGTCACTTGCTTTAAGATGCAACACGCTGAGAACCTCTCTCCTTTATCCACCTGCTTGAGAAGTCACAGCACTTTCTAAATCACTCACTGCTCTCTCGGGCTAGGAGAGGGCCCTGGAGCTGGCTTACTGAAGGAGCAGCCAGGAGCCAGGTGGGGTTTGAAAACAAAAGAAAAGCGCTTTTTGATGAAGTGAATGGACTAGACTTGCTCCTATTATCTTTGGTGATCAGCAAACTCTGCATATAAAATCCACCTCATAAAAACCCCTGGGTTATTAATGCAAGTTTGCAAATATAGCAGCCATAATGAAATGGATGCTTTTTAATGATTTCCTATAATGGTGTTTATATATGGAAGCTTTTTTCTCTACTGAAGCAATTTAATTGGAAAATGGCAAAGGAGTAAGAGGCAGCCGGCCAGTTCCAATTAACAAGCACTCTGACTACTGTGCTGCAGCCTTAATGAACTCCTCCAGGTTCTCCCCAAGTGTCTGCCCTCCTTGGGGACATGGGTGACCTTTCTGTGCCCAGGGTAGCACTGCTCCCTCTTCACCTGCACTGTTTGCATTTAGCCCTCAGATTTCCATCAGCTGAGACCTTGGGAAGTGGGCTTGCACCCAAGGACACCACCAGGGACTCCATAGCCCCTGTATGGCCCTGACCCCACTATGGGTCTTCCCATTGACCTGTCAGCATCTGAGAGAACTATGGCTCCAAATGGTGTCACTTCGATGCAGACATTTGAGTATTTTCTATGTGCAGGCACCATTAGGCTGGTACTCAAGGTCATTAAAGTCCCTCTGGCACAGAGCTTGCAATCTAGCCTAAGAGACACAGACTGGTAATAGGTAAGGGACTAACTCACGCACACACACAGACACACACATGGAGTATTTCCTCAGGTAGAGCTAAGTGGTATGAAGGGAACAGGCTGATTCTGCAGACTCAGAAGGGGGATTGGGGAGGTCTGGGGAGGAGACAGTGGACTAAGGGAATGGCATGTGTGGAGACCAGAAGAGAGTGTCCACGCAGAACCTAAGGCTGGAAAAGCTATTGGCTGGAGGGACACCAAGAAAGGAGGCCAAGAACAGGAAGACAGACAGGCAGAGTGGGAGAGGAATACGCTAGAGGCAGGAACCAGGACCCATGGGACCCTGCAGGCCAGAGGAAGGAGTCTGGATGTCACCCAAGTTTAAGGGGCTAGAATGTGGGAGCACAGCCATGTAGCAACAGATACTATCTTATGTGCCAGTACCTAACACAGCACCTGATGAGTTCACTGAATAGGTGAATAAAGGCTTCTCTGGTGGTCAGAGCACATGTACTAACATTGGGGAGAGGTATCAAGGCCCTTCATAGTTCAGTCTTGCCAGGAAAGACACTACTATTGGTTACAATTTACACATTTTCACATAAGGGACAGAATGGAAAGAAATGATTTGAAATGAATGGCTTGGGAAAATGAAGATGTCCCACTGCAAAGACAAGCAGATGGATGCAGGCTCCTACCAGTGCTGAGTCAGTGCTGTAGATGCCAAGTAGTAAGCTCTGTGGTGTCAGGAACTCAAGTCCCACAGTAGAGATGCCCATTCATGTGGGTTAATCCCTGCATGCCCCAAGCTTATTTAATTACCAGAGTGTCACAGCACAGACCACATACTAATTTCATAAAATAGAATTTGAGAGAAACAAATGGAAGGATCAGGGCAGGGCTGACCCTCCACAGCATTTGGGAGCTCGGTGGTGGCTTGAATCTTGCTGTCTGAGGGCGGGAATCAGAGTCCAGAAGATTGGGGCTGCTCAGGTTGGAGACTGGTAATGGTGGTATGAACTGAGAGTGTGGCATTTCAGCTCAGCAGTAGGCTGGTGGTAGGGTTGTGTGTGGTTTAACATAAAGCCTGGGGCTTCGGTTCAGATGAGTTTCAGGAAGGTAGTTTTGTCCTGAGTCAAATCAACCTGAACTCAATACCTGGCCTTTATGTTGTATCTAATGGGGCCTGGGGAAGTGTCTTTACTCTTCAACAGATTCCATCTGGTTGAAACTGATTATCAATCAGTCTACGGCTCTCACTGACTCTGATGCAGGTAAACTGATCTTATGATCTTATTGGGCCTTAGCAGCAATCCAGACTGCTGACCATCTACTTCTTCCTTACTAGGGCCTTCTCTGCTCTAATGGCTTAACACCAGGACACCCCTTTCCCGCCATTTTCTCCCTACATCTTTGGCCCAACAGTTGATTGCTTTATTCATTTATTCAGTCAGGATCTTTAAATACATACCACATGCCAGGCCCTGGGACGGGCTCTAGAAATATAACTAGGAGATCAAAAAACACTTTTTCCAAGAGTTTAATGAGAGAGGCAAGTTAAGCATACATAACTCAGAACTTCAATGTGACATAAGAAGGAAACAAATAGGACAGCACAGCACTCATATATCCTGGGGCTTTCTAAGACTAACAGGGGACATAGCTGCCAGAGCACTCCCAGAGTCTGCTCATCTGCTGGCCCCAAGACTTAGTCTCAGGCCCCCTCCACTTCTCACTCCGTCCACCAACTTCCCTGGCTTCCTTACCACATGCAAATAACCTGTTGTCTCCTAGCTGGTTTTCTTCAGCCCAGAACGCTTCTCTGGGCTTTTTCCCCCAGTACGTACTGCCTTCTGAAGCATCTCCATGCAGGTATTTCAAGGCACCTAAGTCCTGCTCAACAAAGCACCTACCCATTCTCTTACCTTCACCCAGCAAAACAAAAGAAGACAAAACTCAAAGCCAAACCCCTAATCCTGTTTCCCTACCCTCCCATACTGAGGAGAGGCCCCATCATCCACCCGCTGTGTAAGCCAGGTTCTTCTGAGACGCTCAAAATCATATCTTCATTTCTGCCCCATTTTGAATCCTTGAGCAAATCTTGTCAAATGTACATCTTTTTTGGGCCAGGGATTTAGCTCAGTGGTTTCACCGCCTGCCTCACAAGTGCAAGGTCCCGAGTTCGATCTCCGGTACCAAAAACCAGAAAACCCATCTGTTCTACATCTGTATTCCTTTCTAAATTAAATTTCAGCTACCACCACCCTAGTCCCAGCAACAACTGTGACCACCTAGGCTTTTGGAATGGTTTTCTAGTTAGCCTTCCCACCTCACTCTTGCTCACTCTTGACCTGTGACTCTTTCTCTGTATTCGAGAGAAATTAATTTAAAAGGCAAATCTGATAATCTCACTCCCTGCACACTATTAAAATCTTTTGGTACCTACTTGTGGTCTTTGGGTAAAGAGCAGACTCTCTCACATGGTCTGTGAGACTCAGAGTGACCTGGCCCCTGCCAACCTCTCCAGCTGCCTTCTTCACACATAGTGGTCTTTCGCCTCCTCGGAGACATCTACTCCTTCACTGGATGCCATCTCCACCCTTACCTGCTTCATTCCTACTTATCTATCCTCTGGGGCTTAGGTCACATGTCATTTCCGAGAGGGAGCCTTCCTGGAACCCTGGACTAAATCAAAATCCTCTGACACATTTTCATGGTAACACATTTAATAGTATTATCACATGTATACAGGCTTAGAATTAAAGATCAAATGTATTATATTTGATTGAAATATGACCCACTGAAATATTAACTTCCATGAAAACTTGCTGTACGCACTTTCCTACTGGTCCTTCTTCTGTCTCCACACCACATGTGACCATTTTTTTGAGATACGTCATGCTGTGCCTCCCTCTTTTGACTCCATACCCTTTCAACCCCAGGGATCACTTCAGCTCCCATGACTTCAAAGCCTCTACCTTCAACCCCAATCTCTCTTCAAATATCCAGGTGGGAATTTCCAAGCAGGCCAGAGTCTTGCAACATTTTTACTGCAACCCACATTTAGGACATTTTGTTTGGCAGCTTACTACATACACATGTGCAACAAGCAAGTTTCATGAGGCCATACTGTCATGCTGTTTCCCCATTTCTTTTCATTTCTAAAATACTTCATTTTTATAACTTCAAGACTCTACAGAGAGTCACAACCTGAAGTTTAAAACACAATGTACCAGATATTTCCATGTGGATATTTCTCTACAACCTCAAACATAGTATGACTATTTCTCAACCAAACTTCTTTACCAAAGATTACGATAATCCTCTTAGTCACTTAGGATCAACATGTTGAAGTCATTTGGGATTCTTCCTTCTTACCCAATGTTGCTAAAGCTACTAGGGTCCTGCCACTGCAATGAATTAACACCATTCCACCCTTTCCACTCCCACCATCACAGTTCACATATGACTGTAAACTTGGAGCACTACAACAGCATTTTTAATTGGTTTCCTGCTTCTAGAATTTTCAGAGGTCACATATCTTCAATCACAGTCCTGTTAGAGCAGAAAGCCAGTTTAGCTCTTCAGTTCTACTTTGACCAATGAAGTAATGATTAAGGGACTAAAATGGATATGCTCTCACCCACTCAGAAACTCCAGGAATAATTTAATTTTAACTCAAGCTGGCCCATACTTTTAAGATTCCTTCTGGAATTAAGAAAGCAAACTTGGGCTTGGTGCTGGTGGCTGACAGACTCACCCATATCCGCAGTGACCATGGTGGACTGGTTTTCAGGAACGGAGACAGAGGTTTGGTCTTGGTCCATGCTTCGGGAGTCCTCATTGACCTCATGTTGGCTCTGGCTAAGCTCTGATCGAAGTTCGGAGTACTCATCTTCCTCCCTGAGAAAAAAAAGATAATCAGCCATCACCAACCAAGGATGTGAGACATATCCCTAGAGATTATGTCTTCTGAAGACAAGGATATTCAGAAAGAAAACAGACAGATTTTTCATCCAGTCCACAGAGGCCAGGATTCCTCTGAGGCTCAAAAGATGGTCACATGTATGGCCAGCCAGTGTATCAAAGTGAAAGGGTGCCTCTGTGGCCGAATGCAAACGTATGTACAGAACAAGATTCACCTATCAGGCTACTAGAAACTCTTCTCCTTCAAAGACTACTTAAAGAAATTAGATTTCTCCACCCCCTCAGATCCAAGGTAAAAATCAAAAGTGACTGCTATCAATGAGGATACAGTAAGCAAAACAATCAAGAGCCTAGTGAATAGCAACAGCACACCCATCATCTGGAAGACCCCACTGGGGGTGGCTTCCTTCTTGAAAGAGGACACTGGGAGGTGTCAGGGTTGGTGCTACTGAGAAACCAACACCTCTACATTCAGCAAACTGGACCCTTGGGAGGTGTAGAGATCAGCACATCTCAGAAATACCATGCTTACTTCTGTGAAGAGAGTGGAGTCAGGAGATAGGGGAAGAGGAGTAAGGCAAGGAGAAAAATGGAAACAGTGAGTGACAGAATATCACTTGATGCCCTATTTCCTCCCTTTTGCATCTGCTGGCAGGAAGGCAACACAGAAATGCAGCCATATTTCACCTGCTTATGCACATATTCTCTGCTCAGCCCAGCATAGATCCTGCAACCTTTGGTCTCTGACCTGTACTATTAACAAATGAAGAAAGTTTAGATTTATGGTATGCATTTCAAAGCACATACATCGCCCCTTCACATCCCACCAGTCACCACACACATAATGAATACAGGCAAGGAAAAAGCAAAAGTCACTCTCAAACATTCATTTTACAAGTGAACCGGAAGAAAACATCACGAGGGGATTTAACTGCAGAGGGGAAAGCTCACTGATATCTGCTGAATTCCCAGAAAGGATGTGTGAAGAAAGAAATTTATCTGGGGAGGTCTACACTCTTGGGTCTTAAGGAGACCAAGATGCTTAGTGGCTACCATGGGGCCTTGGGAGAGAGGCAACTGGGGAGAGATTTCTGGGTCAGAGAAATGTAAAACCTCTCCAAAGTGCTTGCTTCTCTACAGAAATCAACATTCTCCCAGGAAAGGAATTCAGCTGCTTTATAAATGAGTCCCTGCTTTATAAGGTACTTTAAGTAAAAGCCATTCAGAAAACCAGGAAGGCTTTAAACAAATATAAAGCCCCTAGTCGTGAAATAAGTGAATTAAAATGGGAGTGGTAAAGGGGAGAAAAGGTTAATGTTCTATGAATAAGTTAATTATTAGACATATGCAGAAGTCAACAATAATTAGCTTAGGAAAGAAAACAATTGAAAAGTACTCTTAGGAGTAGCCTTTTTGATCTAAAGGGTAATTGAGCACAGATATGTCAGCTCTCCTTTCAGTCAGCACTTAAGATGCTGATTTTAGTTAACAAGGGACTCTGTGTATGATGAATAAATTATCTTTATTGCATGACCAATGTAATCAGGTGCAATGTAGCTGAGACTTTTATAGCTAAGAAAATGAGTGATAAATGCTACTGCTATTTCTGTGGTATAAATGACATTTGCAAAAACCTTTAATAGACACCTTAAACCTTCCTGGTTGGGCAGATTCCAAAACATATAGCTTCTGCTAAATCTACTTTGTACTAAATTACTTCTAAGGATTACTAGGGTGGAAATTTATGAAGACGTGAACAGGGAGGGGGTGGAAGAAGGAAGCTGTTATTGTACAAACATCCCCTGATAGGGTCAGAGCAGAGAAAGAGGATGATTTCACATTAGCAATGTGATCACATGCATAAGGCTCTTGATGTCATGAAATACAAATTAAGGATGTTCATTCATTGTATTTGAGGACCAAGACAAGGACAAGAAAGCAAAGATAGGATGAAGTCTGTGTTGCAGGAGACAAAAATGTTACGACCAACGACCAACTCTAACCTACAAGAGATGCTGGGGGTGGACACAGGAGGAGCATCTGGGGCTGCTGGTGAGTAGTGACCAGGGATTCTCCCCAAGGGTGCAGCACTCAGATGAGTATGGTAGGACACGAGGGGGGAGAACAATGCTAAGGCTCAGAGGAGCTTTTAGGAGAATGTATTACACAGGAGGAAACAAGTAATCAGAGTTGAATTGCACACTTAAAATTACCATGTGAAGAGTCAAGGAATTCAGGGGAAGCAGTAAACGTTAGTAAGATCTTGTACGGAAACAGATAAAATGGAGGAAGGCAGTACAGAATCTCTACATCCCTGACCCACAGGAAAGGGTTGATATAAGCATACTGATCCTTAAGTAGGAGACCAGGACATGGCAATGTAGCTGGAACAGTTGCCAGCTGAAGAGACTTGTTCACCACAGATGCGGTGCAGCAGCTCCCAGCCTGACACGAGATCAAGCTGAGCCCTGCACCCAGTACCAATCTTCTCACACGAGAACGAACCGAACCTGGCACCTGATATCAATCTTGTGACATGAGAACATGCCAAGGCGAGCACCTGATACCAATCTTCTAGCACAAGATGAAGTGGGACCACCTGGATCAATTGTCAAAGAAGCAATAAAAGTCAGCATCATTTGACTGAGCACTGCCCTCTTGTTCTTGCAGTAGTCCATTCGGCTTGCAGGACATATCTTCTCTTTTTCCTTCAAAGCAACCCTTTCTCCTTGAACACTTCTTTTGCTTTTCCTTTCCTCATTTCTGCCCTAAAATAAGTAAAACTCTTTCACATTCACCAATGGATCTGACCACTTCACTGAATAGGACAATAAGAACCTGGAAAAATTGCTGCTCCCTACTCCACCTGATAACAACCCCTAGCAAAAATTCTTCTGTGCTAACCATAATACGTATTCTGAAATAAAAACAACAGATACAAAGTAAATAGTAATTAAGAGGTGGAAAGCTACCTTGCACAAAGATCAGAGAAAGTTTTGTGGCATAAGGAACAGAGGTTAAACTGAGCCTACATCTTAGAAGATGTGGGTAGCTCTGCTGTTTCTCCTACCAGCTTAGCTAAAAAGAGCCATAGAGCTGCATCTTTATTCTCCCATCAGCATCACTCCTGAGAAGAGTTTGCAACCTAGGACAGGAAAAATGACAGAAACAAATTCAGAAGCACTGGTGCATGATGGGCAATGAGATCAGAAACACTCTGCTGGCTGAGGTAGGTTTTTCAAACATAAGATTCTGAGTTGTACATCCAAATCTGCTCTGTACAAACTCGAGTCACCTACTGGCGAAGGGTACTTGCTGAAGACACAGCAGCAGCTTCTCAAAGTGACTTCACTGTTCCCTTCCTTTGGGGGATATATAGCAACCCCAATGGGAGGGGGGGCTAAAAATATCTACTGCTAACTTTAATGATGGAAAAGAAGTAAACTGAAAAAGTCCAAAAAATTACCATCTAAGACACAAAAATAGGAACCCGAGACAAACTGATGAATGTTGGTAATTATGTTCTGTAGTGGAGTTTTCATAATGATGAGATTACAAAGTTCTCAAGTGTTTCTCTCTGGCACATAAAAGATCACTGTACAGGATTCTAAATGTACATAACTTCATTCACTTGTTAGCATGTGGGAAATGCCTCCAAGCTGCTTTATTTAGGTTTGCAATGCTCACCGCTTGCCACTAGCTTAAACAGAAAAAATTTTTTCTGAGCAGGCAGGCATTAGACTGTGCACACACCTCTATGATGACCTGCAGTGGCAGTAAAGTCACAGCCAATGAAGACAAGACCAATACTTTTATTTTAAAAACCAGACAATCAAAACTTCAAGAAGAAAAGTGACTTATCCAACATTATGCAACTAGTAGTAGCATAATCTAATCCCTAAATTTCGTATCAATGAAACAACAGTTTAATATTATGGCCTAGGGAAAAAATTCATTACTACTTTTGCTTATTTTTAAAGATTACCTCTTATTGGGTAGGGCTAAAATGATCTAATCTGAAAAGGGAAAAGTTAATAGAAGGATAATTCTTACCATGCTTTCCAGACTTTAGGTGGAAGTATTATAGTCAAGTACTCTTGACAAAATGTCACATCATTAAGTATCCTCAGATCTCCTTTATTTGGAGATGCACATTCATGTCTTATTACTGGGTTGGAATGAACTGGGAGGAAGATCCAGATGCTCATCCACCTGTCCTAGCAACTGTCAGTCAACTGCGGTTAGTGAACCCAGCAGTTTTTGTTGAACCACATTCTGTGTTTCTTACAATTAAAGATAGACTTGCTCAGGTCTCATAAAAAAGCTATCACAGGAAGTGATGAGTAAAGTCTAGATTTTTTTCCTTCTGTTCTGCTTCGTCTTATTCTCCTACATAGCAGAGAGCAGTGATGGCAAACCTTTTAGAGCTTTCAATGACAACAAACACTGTTGGAGCACATAGGTTTGCCACCACTGGCATAGAGGAAGGTCAGAGTCATCTGCAAGTCTTCTGGTGAATAATTGAACAAAAGAGATTTTGAAATGCTCTTCCAAGGATGTAACAATCCAACCTTGTTGTAATAAGATCTGATAAAAGATCCAAATATAAGAAGCTGAAAATATTGAATGAGGGATTATGCACACCACAGGAAGAGAAGGCAGAGAAAAATATGTCTTTTCTTTCTGGTTTTATTTTTATTTCATTATATTTTACTTGTCAGGCCATAACTTAATCAGAACAATATGTCTTCCTGGAAGATAAAGAGGTTTGGGTTACACTGTGTTTGAGATAAAGCATATGGGTCAAAGTATAATCTAAAAACCAATAGAAAGACCAGGCTCCTGCATAGCCCTGACATCTTAGGCATCAGAAGTCAGAGACTTCAGGTATTACTGAATCTGATGGGTTATTGTCCCATCTGCTGTCATTCAAGGTGAAAAGCCAGATGACTCTCAGAGGAAGTGGAAAAGATCCA